GGCTCAGTGATGCTTTGAAAGAAAAAGTTCTTGTTTTCAGTCAGTACATTGATCCCTTAAACCTTACAAGGGATCTTCTGAAATCTCAACTTCAGTGGACTGAAGGGGAAGAGGTGCTGTATATGGATGGAAAAAGTGATATGAAGCAGCGTCAATCCTCAATGAAGGTTTTCAATGATCCATCTAGCAAAGCCAAGGTATTATTAGCTTCAACTAAAGCATGTTCTGAAGGCATAAGCCTTGTTGGAGCTTCCAGGGTTGTATTGCTGGATGTCACATGGAATCCATCTGTGGAGAGGCAAGCAATATCCCGTGCCTACAGGCTGGGACAGAAGAAGGTTGTGTTTGTCTACCATCTCCTCATGGACCGAACTAATGAAGAGCATAAATACAGTCGCCAAGTTGACAAGAGTCGTTTGTCTGAGTTGGTGTTTTCTGAGTCAGACAAGAAGAAGGTTCTTGAGAAGGAAATCGGAGCCACAGTTTCTGAGGATAAAATCTTGCAAGAGATGGCCCAGCACGGGAAACTGAAGCACCTATTTAAAAGCATAGCTTTACTGCATGAAGACATATACTTTGAGCAGCTAGGCCTGTCAACTTTTGGTTAAGACACAGGCACACATTGTAACCCAATGACTGTTTTCAACTCTTGGTTCGAACAAATTTTGCGCACTTTATGGTTTCTTAGCTCCAACATTTATGCATTGCCTTGCCTCCAAATTATTGATTTGGATCTCTAGAGAGGTTGACATTTGCCTCCAAATTATTGATTTTCCTTTTGGTTAAACAAGACATAGTAGGAAGGAAAGCATTTGAAACCACAGGGACATACAATGATATAATGAAAAAACCTCAATCAGTTGACACATAGAGGAAAGCACCAAACCAAAGAGTAGTGGTTCTGTTTAGAGACACCTCGGATACCTTCATTCTTTGCATACTTCTCAAGTCGCTACACTTTCTTGCTTCTCGTGGTTATGGGAAAGCAAGACAACGTCTAACCATTGTTTCAGTGTGCCGACTATGCCGACCATGCATGAATTGCATGATGCCGAACGACACTTAGGGCCCGTCTGGTAACGTTTTCAGAGAATATTTTCAGAGAATGAAAACAAGAAAACAAATTTGCATTTTCAGGAAATGAAAATGCGTCTGGTAGATTAATTAGAAAACATCTTTAGAAAACAAAAACAATGAAAACGTGTCCGGTAGTACAATTGTTTTTCAGGTGTATTTTTGCTAATTTCAGTTCTAATTTTTTTTAATTCTGATATTTTTAGAGGTTAAAATTATTATAAACAATGAAAAAAATCAAAGCTAAAAAACTATCTTATCTCCTTTCTTTTCTTTTTTTTCTCTTTTTCTCCTTTTCTCTCTTTCCTCCTCTTTTCCTTCGCATGCTGTTTCTTTTTTCTCTTTTTTGTCCTCTTTCCTTCTTTCTTCCCCTTTTCTTCTTCCTTTCCTTCCCAGGCTTCCATGGCATGAATCCCATACACCCACCCACCCATCTCTCTCTCTCTCTCTCTCTCTCTCTCCACTAATTAATGGTTGTGGTGGTTCGATTAGGTGATGATGGTGGTTGAGCTGGGTATGTGGGTCGGAGAAGATGGGGGTTGTTCTTTTCTTTTCTCTTCCTCTGTATCTGTTTTCCTTTTCTTTTCTTCTTCCTATGTAATTTTTTTTCTTAGTTTGCTGGGTCGGAGAAGGTGGGTGTTGTTCATGTTGGGGGGTTTATCGGTTGTCAAGAGAGAGAGCTAGAGTTGTCGATGGGATGCATTCTCATGTCTTCGGAAAACACTGAAAATGAAATTACTGAAAACAACTTTTTTTCATTTTCAACTTTTGTTCACAAAGTCAGATTTGTTTTCAGAAAATGTTTTGTGAGGGAAAACGAAAACAATGCACCGAACGTGTATTTGTGAAAAACAGGAAACAAAAACAGAAAACAGGCCCTAAAAACATTACTGAACGGGCCCTTAATTACTATGTTGAGCATTTCTCTTACTGGGCTTTACAAAAATTAAGGGGTGGACTGAGGTGAACACCCAATGACAAATTATATGAGTTTAGGATCATATTTGCAATGTGAGGGCTGGTCATTCATTATATTGATTTGAGATTTATGAAAGAATTTACACATCTGGATGGATAGCACAGCATATGTGGGGGCTGTATTCAATTATTCTTGCTAATGTATATTTTTTTCGAACATTCTTGCTAATATTTATGTCTATGTGTAGCCGAAAATTATCATATAGAAAACTTAATGTATCAAAAGTTTTCGGTCATGGAATTTATGAGGCTTGAATTTCCTTTAGTTTGTGATGAGTTAGTAAAATAAGGTACCGGAAAAGTACGAACAAAATATATATGTGTTTTATTCAGCAAAATTTTGATAAAATATAAATGAAAAGTTCGGCCACTATATAATATATATTTTTTCATTTTTTTATTCAATAATATATGAAAAATACGTGAATTTTGTATGTATTATTGAAAATTTTGTAAAAAATACATGTATTAAACGTGAAGAATATATATGTACATATATTACGTTGTATTGTATGTTTGAATTTAAAAACGTGTATTTTATTGAGTCTTTAAGATGTGTACAGAAAATAACAATACTTTAGAAATATAAGTAAGTATGAGTATAATACAAGTATTAAACGAGAAATGCTAACTAGTTATGACTAACGTTTTAGCTTTAAGTTAGATATGATATGCATATTAAAAAAGTGCTAAAATGTGAACAATGATATGGTCTATAATCTATATGCCTTGTGAAGGCTAAATAAAGTAAAAGACTAGTTATTTATATGTACTCCTTGTGAGGCTAAATAAAAAATGTAGAGGGGAATGAGCTCAAGTCTATATTGCTCTGTTTGGATGAAGGAATTGCAAATTACATAGAATTCTAAAATGACGGGATTTAGATTTCCGTCATTTCAATTTCTGGCAATTGAAGATTTTAGTGTTTGGATTTATGTATGTCGAATTTTGTAAATGACAAAAATTGAAAATTTCAATGTTTGGATAGCTCATGTAAATTGTAAATGATAGAAATTAAATATTTCGAAAAAACAAAAAAACTGATAACCGACATAGAAGGTATTCCTCGAAGTATAAAATAACATATCGTTTGATGAACTAAATAACTCAACTTAAACAAACAGAGCATATTAGCAAACCAAATCACTCCCCACGTGCAATACACATCAACAACATACTTTTTGTTTTTTTTCTCAATTGGGAGTGCCTTCAGCATATGAAATTGTTTGTCATTTTCTATTAGCCAAGCACATGCTTTGAGTTGTTCATTTTCACTAAGACCTGGTACTGCTTGTACTTCAGCATATACCTCTGCTGGATCAAGGTTCTTAGTATCAGCATGGATAAACTCTTCAAATGATAAAACCATTCTATCAATCGAATCAACAATAACATCTTTGACAGCACCTCTTTTCTTTGTGGGAAGAATATCACAAGAAATTGATGCACGATTTCTTCTCTTTTGGCCATTTGTCGAGGTTGGTGAAATATAATCAATAACATGAATATCTTCTAAATCTTGTGTATCACCATCCAAATCAACATGATCAACTTCACTAGCAAGAGTCATAACCTTAGTTGCATCTGCACCTATTTCAGCGCCCTCTCGAGTGGCTCTATCTTTGCCACACAAATCTACTATATCATCCCAATTTTCTATAACTTTAAATCGAAAACCTCTAGCATCGTCATGAGACTACCAAATAAATAATCAAAGTCAAATAAGAAAGAGAGAAGACCAAAATCAATTTTCAGCAGCATATAACAATCAATAAAGCTTTTCGTTTCCTTACATAGTATATAAAAAGCTTTTCAGCAGCATAGGCTTTTTTTTCAGAGTAGGCCCAGTTTGGGATTGCTGTCACTTTTAAAAGAAGTTGCTTCTGCTGTGCTTTGAAAATAATTAGCTGTAAAGTAAAGCAGCTCCATGTTTGGTAAATAATATTTTTAAAGTACTGTTAGTACAAAAAGCAGTGTAAAAAACGTTTGGTAAATTTTAATATAAAATTGTTGTAACTGTGAATAATGACTAAAATAGACATGATGTTAAAAGTGTTATGTACTAATTATGTGGTGGTAGTTGTAGTGATGGAGTGGAGGTGGTGGTGGTGATGAAGGTGAAGTTGGTGGTGGTGGGGATGGCGGTTGTGGAGGTGGTGGTGGTGGTGGTGTTGGTTGTGGAGGTGGTGGTGGATTTGGAGGTTTTGGAGGAGGAGGTGGTGGATGAGGTGGTGGTGGCGGAGGATGAGGAGGAGGAGGAGGGTGTGGTGGTGGTGGTGGTGGTTGTTGTGGAGGTGGAGGTGGAGGTCGGGGTGAAGGAGGAGGTTGTGGAGGAGGTGGTGGTTGTGGTGGTGGTGGTGGAGGATGAGGAGGAGGAGGATGTGGTGGTGGTGGTGGTGGAGTGGTGGTGGTGGCGGTGGTTGTGGAGGTAGTGAATGTGGTGGTGCAAGTGGTGGAGTTGGATGTGGATGTGGAAGTGGAGGTGGTGTCATTTTTAAAAAAGAATGATGGTATTTTGGGAATTAAAAAAATTCATTAAATGTTCATCTCTGCTTCTTTTGAAAGCAGCTTTGAAAAGCAACCCAGAGCCTGCTTTTAAAAGCTGCTGTCAAAAGGCCATTGCTTTTAAAATAATCGGGATATTTTCTTTTTACCAAACACCTTAAACTGCTTAACTTTAAAGTGAAGTAGGTTTTTGGCGAAAAAAAGCAATTCCAAACGGGGCCATATCGATAATTAAGTCTTTAAATATTTATGGAGGAAAATGGATTTAACCCTAATAATTATTGTTTTGGTCCAACACTGAAAGCCCAAAAACTGAAACAAACCAATTTGTGAAAATAGTTTTATGGCCCATTTCTATTTCATGGGCTCTATCCAGATTAAAACGGAATAGTTATAATAAGCAACTCTGCGTTTTCTTGTAAGAAATTGTTTGTTTTCTTTTCGTGCGTAAGACCTACGAGCGGGAACTGAGTGAGTAACTCTGCGTTAGAGCTACGACGGGGAAGAGAAAACATGCCCTCCTTCACGCATCCCCCTCCTCTATTTATTTGCTCCTGTCCGTTTTCTTCAAGCAATCAGCTCCTCCTACTTCTCGTTCAGTTTCTTCTCCTTCCTTCTGCTCAGATAACTCTCTCTCTCTCTCTCTCTCTCTCTCTCTCTCTCTCTCTCTCTCTCTCTCTCTCTCTCTCTCTCTCTCTCTCTCTCTCTCTCTCTCTCTCTCTCTCTCTCTCTCTCTCTCTCTCTCTCTCTCTCTCTCTCTCTCTCTCTCTCTCTCTCTCTCTCTCTCTCTCTCTCTCTCTCTCTCTCTCTCTCTCTCTCTCTCTCTCTCTCTCTCTCTCTCTCTCTCTCTCTCTCTCTCTCTCTCTCTCTCTCTCTCTCTCTCTCTCTCTCTCTCTCTCTCTCTCTCTCTCTCTCTCTCTCTCTCTCTCTCTCTCTCTCTCTCTCTCTCTCTCTCTCTCTCTCTCTCTCTCTCTCTCTCTCTCTCTCTCTCTCTCTCTCTCTCTCTCTCTCTCTCTCTCTCTCTCTCTCTCTCTCTCTCTCTCTCTCTCTCTCTCTCTCTCTCTCTCTCTCTCTCTCTCTCTCTCTCTCTCTCTCTCTCTCTCTCTCTCTCTCTCTCTCTCTCTCTCTCTCTCTCTCTCTCTTTCGGATTTTACTTGTATGGTGAATGCTCACTGTTTCTTTATCTTTTGAAAGTCGACAACGAGCCATTGTCACTATACCACGCTTGCTTGAGTGCAACTTCAATGTCGAAGTTCATGGCTGCTCCAAATGCAAATTTAAATTCGAATTCAAATCCAAATCCAAATCCAAATCCAAACAACTCCTTTGAGGTAAATTCATTGTCGATTTTTCTTTGCCTTCATGTATTTATTTTCTGAGTTAATTTAATTTGATTTTGTGTGTTTTTTAGGTCGCTCAACCTCCAGACGACTCCATATCAAGCCTAAGTTTCAGTCCCAAGAGCAACATTCTGGTCGCCACCTCCTGGGACAACCAGGTTCTTGTTCTTTTTCTTTTCTTTCGTTTTTTTTTTTGGTTTTATCAGTTACAAAACCTTAGGTTTTGTTTCTTTGCTAAGAAATTTATTTGTAGAGATTTTGATTGAATTTCTGTGACCATCTTATTGAACTTGTGGTTTATGGACAACCCAGAATATAAGACAATATGCTATGAGGTTAATATAAATTTTTTTGGGTATAATCTGCTTATGTAATTTATGTTAACTGAAATTAGATAAACATGGGGCATTTATAATTTATTTTCTTTTCTGTTTTCTTTCTTTCGCAACCAAACAGTGTTTTGTTAGGATTCACTAATGACTTGTGGTGTTCCCTTGTTTAGGTGCGATGCTGGGAGATACACCAGAGCGGAACCAATATTGTCAGTCAGCCAAAGGCAGCGATATCCCATGACCATCCGGTAACATATCTTATTGCACATTGTTAGGCCAACTTGCTTTGTTTTCGATTCTCAAGCTTGATTTTGAACCTCTTGTATAATTATGGATATATGCACATACTGGCTTACAATGAGTCAATTATAACTTCCTATCACAGCGATGGTGCGAGTTAGAAATCCCTGTTCAGTATTTAAATTCTAGATCGCCTGCCTTTACTTGTAGAAGGACAGAATAATAATAGTAATTATGGTAGGTGTGCGACCTGTTTGCAAGATCTTAGGTTTCCAATGAAGATGTCAAGGACAATTGCATGTGCAATTGTTATATGGTGCTGATTTCAAAACAAGTAAATTTAGTAGTATTTTTATGCAATATTATTTGAAAAGATAGAGTTTTTTTTTGGAGTAATGAATGAACATGTGCATTTAATTTGAGACTACATGGGATCAATGTATGTCCTTTGAGGAAATTCTGTGATATCACTTGCAACTTTTCTTTCTTTCTTCTTTCTTGTAAGCTGGTCAGAAGTTTATAATATGATTCATGACTTTGTATACACCTATAGTAATATACTCCATCTATGTAGGTTTTGTGCTCAACTTGGAAAGAGGATGGAACAACTGTGTTCTCTGGAGGTTGCGACAAGCAAGTGAAGATGTGGGCTTTGGGTGGCCAACCAGTAACGGTTGCCATGCATGATGCACCCATTAAAGAGATTGCTTGGATCCCTGAGATGAGCCTCTTAGTCACAGGAAGCTTGGACAAGACTATGAAGTAAGTAAAACATAGCCTTTGTTCTTATGTATTTTGAGCTATCTGAAATTTATACACCAGAAATTTGTGTGGTATTCTTTCTAAAATAATTCATTTAAGGTTATGGGAGAATGTTGTGCTTTGCTCTTGCCAGTTTGGCACCCTTTTTGCTCATATATTTTCTTCTTTGTTACAAAATGTTCTCATTCATCTGAGAACTAAATTTCTTGTAGTTGTTGATGTGTTGTATTGTTTTTCTACCTTAACTTATTTCATAAATTACTAAAGCTTTGTCATCTTGCCTTGATACCAAATTTTCTGTTTTTTTATTTATGATCTTCTCTGCCTATCTTCAGGTATTGGGATGTGAGGCAGCCAAATCCAGTGCATACACAGCAACTACCAGAGCGCTGTTATGCTCTATCAGTGAGATACCCTCTAATGGTTGTTGGCACTGCAGACAGAAATCTGATTGTTTTTGACTTGCAGAACCCACAGGTAAATTTTAGTTTTAGGAGTTATCAGATTAGATTTATTTTATCAATTTCATGCAAGAAAATCACATTAAAAAGTAAATCAGGCTTACTTATTTAGTAACTTTGTTCACTCCTAGTTTCAAAAATTAACATTTATTTAGGCTGTTTTTTTTATTTTATTATTTTTTTATATAAAAAAAATTACATTAAAAAGTAAGAAAATCACATTAAAAAGTAAATCAGGCTTACTTATTTAGTAACTTTGTTCACTCCTAGTTTCAAAAATTAACATTTATTTGGCGGTACTATGATGATAAGCTTCTCTAGTTTTTTAGTTTTCAATTCCAGTAAATCACTTTTCCACAATAAATTGCGACGGTGCTGGGATATATTATCTGTGTGATTTGATCACCTCCATGAATGTTCTCTATTTTGCTTCTAAATTTAATTATTTCCAATCACCAACACACTGAATTCAAGAGAATTCTTTTGCCCCTAAAGTATCAAACAAGGTGTGTTGCTGCATTTCCCGATCATCAAGGATTCTTGGTAAGTATTTTCTCTTGTGCTCGTAGTTTTCTGTTTGGGTTCTCTCTGAAAATATAGTTCTCCTCTTTTTTAAATAGCTTGCTTAGAATGACAAACTATAATATGGTATTCTTGCATAATTATTTCCACCAAACATGAATTCATGGTGTGCTTTCTTGTTTATGACTAGCAATTGATTAATGTGATAATTTCTGGAGAGTGGAGACACAAGAAAATTTTAGTTATCTAGGGGATATAAAAAATACAAAGTGGTGACCAGTTTATTTAAAAATCTTTGACTTTGACATAGAGATTATTGTAATTTCTCAAAATGAGATTAAGAAGAAAAAAAAAAGAGAGGTTTAAATGTTTGTTGATAGTTGATATGCCTCTTTGTCATCAGTTCTTCCATTTGCCACTGTGCTTTCTTTTCTTGACTTATGTGATTGTTGATCATGATGTAAGATCATGCATACTCAGTCTTTGCTTCATAATTATTATATTCTCTGAATGGTTAACTAATTATGATTCTGACATTATGATGTAACCAGGTTGGCTCTATTGAAGGGAGGGTTGGTGTACAACATCTGGATGAAAAACAAAATGATAAAAACTTTACCTTTAAGTGCCATAGAGAGGGCACCAGGATATACTCAGTCAACTCTCTGAACTTCCATCCAGTATGATTTTCCTTTGTCTTTTTCCTTTTTCATATGGATATTTTTTTTCTTCTGGATAATGCACTAAATAATGTTTGTATTTCTTCTGGTTGACTACCTTAAACTTAAGAAACCTCTTCATTAATTTAGTGTTCTCATGTTTCAGTATCCTAGTTAAGAAAAAATCGCTGAGATTGTTTTGAACCTTGTCATCCATAGACTATGATGTTTTTGTAGAAGTATGGTATTAGTATCATTGGTTCAGTCCTCACCTTAAGATTTCACGATTTGGATATTATTCTATCTATCATTCAGGTTTCAGATTTTTGATATCAGTGGATTTATTGGCATATGCACGAATTTTAGAGTTTCCTTTAAATATATTGATTTTGTTCTATTATATGAGGTAATGAGTCATGTCGGAAATTGCCACCCCTACTTTGAGTGCATTTGGATCAGTGTACTTTGTTTTACTTCAGAGTTATGACTGGGAATGCCTAATTTTGATATTTTATATTTTCTATGATCAGTCCAAACTCTTTTTTGTAGCATTCATTATGGTTCTTGTTAGGTTGTTCAAAGAAATGATGGATAAATCTGTGTTTTCATGTTCTGTTACTATTATTTGTAATTTTAAAGCTTATTTGAGTCCCTTGTCTCAGGTGCATCACACATTTACTACTGCTGGTTCTGATGGTTCTTTCACTTTTTGGGATAAGGATAGCAAACAGAGACTAAAGGTTTCTCCCACATCTATTTTCTATTTCTTTTCTCTTTGTATTATGTGCTTCTTAACTGTTATTTCTGTTCTGATAAGTAAAAGTTGCTGCTAAGCTGGCAGGCTTACTTTGTTGTCTTTAATTCTGCAGAATCCATATTCTTTTTCTGGCATGTCCTTGCCAATTCTCCTACTCTCTCCTTGTTTATATGTTCAGTCTATGACTGATCCTCTCTATTTATATGCGTATAGGTGTCTGATACAGCTTTTTTCTGATTTTTCAGGAAATGTCAAGGTGCAATCAACCTATACCTTGCAGTACGTTCAACAATGATGGTTCCATATTTGCATATGCGGTAATTCGCTTTCTTCATGATTGCACAACCAATATGAAGACACTCTCTCTCTCTCTCTCTCTCTCTGTGTACTCACACGCACCACCTGCGCACATAAATTCACAGCACTAACACATACCAAGGCAGACTAATCACTAATCTGTAGCTGTTTTCACAACACTAACACATAAATTCACAATACTCTCACACACACCACCTTGCGTCATGACTTCATTGATCTATAGTAATATTCTGAGGGTTCTCTTATATACTTGATGCTTAAATTACCACTAAATTAGTATCATGCTCTACTTAAGATCATTCTCGTCTGTTAATATCATTGATTCATTTGACTGAGTCATCGTGTAATGTAAATTTAGAAAAAGGGAAATACCATCCTAACTTTTCTGGGTTTCCTCTTTCAAATCTGAGGTCGGAAATGACTTCTTGTGCACATGTATACAATTCATGTTCATCAACTGGTTTAAAGTGGTAAAAGTAGTTATGTTAGATTACATTTTGGGAAACAGAGTACGGCTAGGTAAACCTTTATGAGGAGAGGTCATTCAACTGTACACTATTATGGCATTCTTTTATTATTTGGGTACAAAGGAGACCAGAGGGAGGTTTAAACTTTTTGCTTGATTCTGGGGATAAATGTCCACTACCACTGGAGCTACAACCCCACACGTCTATATATAACTTTACAGTAAACCATCCTTGAATATTTAGATTGTCGTTGTACAAAATTTCAGGCAATGTTTTTTGTGGATGCATTTTTATGTTAGTTCTTGCGATGATGATCAACCTTTATGCAATCTCAATTTGTACCTCCAATAAACCTTAGCTCTCGCCTTTGATTAATGTGTTTTTTTTTTCTCTTGTTGTGTGCCATTGTACAATGATGTTTCTTTCTGTACACAAGTGACTAAGTGGTAGAGTAACTAAATGCCCCGCATTGCACCTTTAAATTGATGGTTATGCTTTCTGTACAAGCCAATATGACTTGAAAACTGATTGCACAAGACTCAAACAAACTCTCCCTCCAGATATTTTCTTGTCATAATTTTAAATTGCAGATCTTTTCCAAACTTGTGTTTGCAGGTTTGCTATGATTGGGGCAAGGGTGCAGAAAAACATAATCCAGCTACCGCAAAGAACTACATTTTCCTCCATGTGCCACAGGTATATTCGGACAACACATTTCAACAATTTTGTTCATGATGGCCTGAAAATACTGAAGACTGCACGTTTATATGTTTCTTTGGTTGCAGGAAGCCGAGGTTAAAAGGAAACCACAAGTCAACACTGGTGGAAAAAGGTGAAGCTGGTCGACCAGCCATGTCGGTTATGAGCTATTTCTGTACATGGAAGTTTTTAGTTACTGACGTTTGATCAAGGCTAGCCCCTCTGACAGCTCTTAAGAGGATATCCTACAGATTTTTAGTTACAGATTTACGATTCTCGATCAAATTTCTACTCTCAAAAATACCATTTTCCAATCTAGAAAACAGAGACCAGTAGAAATCCAGAGATTCTTGTTCAGTCACCAACTGCCACAGGATTTGAGCAAAACTCGTCTGAATCCGACTGATCACTAAGGTTGATAAAGTTGAGAATGATTGAAACGATAATACAAAGTTTTCTGATTCTTGAATTGTTGGTAGTGTTGTTGTAAACTTGTAATCATGGCACTTGAGATTGTTGGAGGGGCTGCTCTAGGAACAATATTTGCAGCCTTGTATGATGTTGTTAAGATAGCCATGGGAAAGACTGTCATGCAGTTCAAACCCCTCCTCCGAGATAGATTTTTAGTTACAGATTTACGATTCTCGATCAAATTTCTACTCTCTAAAATACTATTTTCCAATCTAGAAAACAGAGACCAGTAGAAATCCAGAGATTCTTGTTCAGTCACCAACTGCCACAGGATTTGAGCAAAACTCGTCTGAATCCGACTGATCACTAAGGTTGGTAAAGTTGAGAATGATTGAAACGAAAATACAAAGTTTTCTGATTCTTGAATTGTTGGTAGTGTTGTTGTAAACTTGTAATCATGGCACTTGAGATTGTTGGAGGGGCTGCTCTAGGAACAATATTTGCAGCCTTGTATGATGTTGTTAAGATAGCCATGGGAAAGACTGTCATGCAGTTCAAACCCCTCCTCCGAGAT